GAAAGATGAGGATGAGGAGAAAGGAGATGAAACTTTCTTCTTTCCCAACCAGTTAAAAGCTGGCTGTTAAGCAAGGAGAGAGAGCATGTGATCCAATATGTGAAATATGTTTTTATCTATGGAAAAAATAGCATGTACTGAGAATCTAGCAGGAACACATTTCTCAAATACTCGTACCTGTTAAAAAATGTCAATATTTCCACTGTGTCACTCCTTCTGTAATTCATGTAAAGAAAATGAGGCATTTTATATGAGACGGGATTACTATTTGTTTCTATGCCTTTTTTTTGTTGTTCTCTTTTACTAGAGGGAGAGCTTCCACCATCTAGAACTAGAACCACTGTTTGGCTTAGTAAAAGTAAACATGAGCTGACTCTTAAATAGTTTTCTCTGTAGGAATTCAGGTTAGGTCTTAATTGTTTCTCTGGCTCATCATTAACCATGTCTGACCTGTTCCTGAACATGTGACCTGTCTGAGAGTAGCCAAGTAGCTTTCATCAGCTAATAGTTATGTATTTTGAGATCTAGATCAGGAATGCTGCAAAGACAAGTGAAAAGTCTTCTTACTAATACAGTATTGCTTCTTTCTAATACGAGACTCATTTTCAGGTGGAAAAGGTGAGATTCTTTTCTTTTGCATGCAAGTCAGCAGTTGCTTGGAGAAAATGCTCCTTGCACTGCTCGGTTCCCAAGGGGGACTTGCCTTCTGCGGTGGCTCATTGCCAACCCACAGCTGGCAAGGTGCTGCTCCTGCAGGGTTGCCATATGGGCCCTAAAAGAGCTGTTGACCTTCCTTATATGCAAACACCTACCCTGACCTTCGGTGTAGAAGTGGCTGCAGGAGTTAGCACAGCTCTGACGGAGGCTGCTGCTGTATCTTGGTGGTTTTGGTGAAGAACGCCTGCGTGTACGCAGTGTGTGCCCTTCTGCACCTCTTGAGCAAAGTCCAGCAGCTAGCTGTATATACCCAAGGAACCTGAGCTGAAGTGTCAGACTTTGCACTGAAATGGATTAAAATCATGCACGAGATCCAGTCAGGCTCTGTTACAGGATTGGTAATGCCCAGAAGGACAGGAGAGACCTCTGGTAGTCATATTACTTCTGTCTTTCAGAGCTCTTTGGGAAGTTGGAAGAATCAGGAAGTGGGGAAAGGAAAACTGTAAAGGGTGAGGCAACCTAGGAACTCGTCAAAACTGTTCTCTGATCCTTGGTCCCTGACTGCTACCAGTACGTTTGCAGTGCAGAGCCAGGGCTTTGTGAGTTGGCTGTCCGGGACACTTGAGCATTACTGATGGATTGAGAGGCACCAAAGCAGCTGCCAGGTGCCTTGATGTGCCAGCCTGAACTCTCTGCACAGGGCTGAAAAGCTGGTAAAACAAGGGAGGCAGTACCATTATAAATACCACCATCAGCAGGAAATGAGGAGCCTCTGTTTTATGAAAAGTAGTCCCAGGTTTCCAGCAGTTTTGCTCTCCCTCTTTGGTTCCAAGACCCTCTGCCTGCTTGTTTCCCAAATGGGGCAGTGGAGGGAGCCAGTGGAGAGGTTTCCACAGTCTAACCTTCAGGAGGAGAGGCTAAGGCTACCCTGCTTTTCCCTTGAGGAATGGAAGGGATAGTGACTTTTATCTAAGAAGTTTTGAAGCCAGTTTTTGCTTTGAATCAAATTCTGTAAGATCTTTCTGTGTACATGTGAGGGAACAAGACGCTTTACTGCTGTGATCTAGGTGGTGATGTCTTAAAGCCTATTTTAAAATTTGGTTTTGTCAGTAAAGCTGTACAAGTTCATGAGTCTGGACAGATGTCTGGAGTTTAGGTGGTTTTGTGATTATATGTATAATATTGTATCAAATATTTGAATGAGTAGTAGCTACAGTAAGAAATCTGTAAAAAGCCAAACAAACCAACCCAAAAAACCTTAAGCCAAACCAAAATAATTACGAGATTATATAAGAAATATATTTTTTAGCCTGTATATACTCTAGGATGTTTATATTAATATGAAGGAGTACAAAGGATAGATTTCTTTAACCCATCAGCCTGCAGGTATGTACTGTAAGTCAAGGTTTCAGAAAGGTCAGCTTCTCTGCTTCCTGTGTTATACTGATCCTACCGACTTGCTTTTGGCTTTTTTATGAAGACAGCTTCAGGAGTGCTACTGAAGACTGTTGGCCACAGTTTAATTTTACTTTCTGTTTGCTTACTTGAATAAGCAGTGTTTCACTCTTCGATGCAGTATACTTCATATGAACAAAAAATTGAAAAGAGAAACGTTTTTTTCTGAATAATATGCTTATTGTGAAAGGTTAGGGTGGAAAATGTAAAATTACAGGAAGCCCAGAAAAATTGGTATTACTTCAGTCCTTGTTTTTTTTCCTTTATTTTGTTTTTTCCCCTTGAGGTTTGAAAGCCTGTTAGCACTTTGCTATTTTGATGCATACTTACAGGCTTTTTGATAAAATGTGTTTTAATTTTATGCTGAATTCTTGAATCACAAGACCTGAACTGGGATGAACTTACCTCTGCCTGGAATTGTATAGCTGAGCAGCTTACAAGGTGCTGGCTTTTAATTTCTCCTCAATTATCTACTTGTGTTCAGTTTTAGAAGTAGGATAAATATGTAATGAACTTGGAATGCAAATATTTTAAGTATAGGCTTTATTTCATACAACTTTTAAAGTGAGAGCCCTTATTTAAAACACAAACGTATTTTCTTTATTTGCAATTAAATAATACATCTCTAGGTGGCAGTAGGACACACGGGTACTTTTTCTGTCTGCAAAACAGCTGTTATCAGAGTGCTTGCAGTTTGGTTTGGGTTGTTTGCTTTTTGTTTGTTTTTTTTCCTTTATTCTCTCTGTAAAAGTAGTGCAGAATACCTGAGCACCTTGGCTCATAAATCAGAATTCGGAATGCCTTGGAACAAATAAAAGATAATTTATGTTTCGTTTCATAGATATTAAAAGTTCATGCTGTTGAAAAGAACACCGCCCAGTTGCCTTTTTCATGTTTTTTTTTAAAACAATGTGTTACACTGAACATAACAAGAAGGCTTAATTGCCCAAAGTCGGTATTTATCAGTTCGTGTGACTGGCTCCAGCCACTGAGGAGCAGCAGGGATGACTTCCCGGCCCCGGCAAGCAGGAGGCCTCGATTGGGCAGGGAAGGGCTGGTGCTTTGTGGCAAGTGGCAACTGTAGCCGAAATTCCCAAATTTTCACTTATTTTTTCTACTTTTCAGCTCAATTGAAATACAAGCTGTGTGAAACCCATCTTACAGGGCTGTTCCCTGAGTAATTTTTTTAGTGGCTTGTGTCCACTCAATTCCCCCAAAGACTTTTGTCCTGAAGTATTTGATTTTCACCTCATGCAAAACTTGGGTTCTAACTTTCCCCTTTATTTGGTGTCTTCGTTGCCTGAGTGTGCACAGAGAAAATTGTCTGTAGCAGTCGTCAACATCGTGATGTTATGTAAAGCAGAGTAGAAAATCCAATATCATGTAGTTCACTGGAGACTTGTTATGAAACAAAGATTAGAATTAATATTATTACTAAAAATGTTCTAAGGAATTCCAGTTTCATCCAACCGCTTAACGTAAGTCACAGGTAACTTCTTGTAACAGAAGTTCTGTCTGTTACAGATCTCTTCCATGGTATATGGAAAAATACTCTGGTTTCGTTGGGGGTTTTTTAAATGGTTTACTTCATTACTTAGAGATGCCTTTTACTGCAATTTTAACTGTATTTAGGAAAAAAAATATAGTGTGCTAGTAAAGTGAGGATCCCACATACTATTATACCATCATACTTTCTACTGACTGTGTGGTACACCAGTCTGCCTGGGGAGGGCCTCAGAAATACAGGGAAGACAAGTCTACTCTTAGCTGATGTTGAGCAAAGATGAGTTATTCTGTGTATGTATTTCATTTTAGAAGATGTGAGGGTGTTAAGCTGAGACAATCCATTGAGGATACTAGTTTTGCAGTGTGATTAAACTACCTATCCTTGAAGTGTCTGACCATTCTTGAAGTGAGGACCAGTTGTGATAGGACAAGGGGTAATGGTTTTAAAATAGAGGGAGGTAGATTCAGATTGAATATTAGAAAAAAATTTTTTACCATGAGAGTTGTAGAACACTGGAACAGGTTGCCCAGAGAGGTGGTGGATGCTCCATCCCTGGAGACGTTCAAGGCCAGGTTGGATGAGGCCCTGAGCAACCTGATCTAGTTGGAGATATCCCTGTTCCTTGCAGGGGGGTTGGACTAGATGACCTTTGAAGGTCCCTTCCAGCCCTAACCATTCTATGATTCTATGATTCTGCCCCTTTCTTTCTCATGTGACAATATAATATATTACACTGAAAGTAAGGCTCACATGATGTGTCACTTTTTTGCAGTTCAAAACTAACATATTTTATGTTAAACTAACATATTTTATGTTAAATCACTAGTGGTTTGTATCCCACATTTAAAAATGGAAGGGTCTCAAAATTACAATTTAAACCTGGACACCTGACTTCTTTTTATTTTTTTTAATGTACTGTAAGTCCATGAATGCTTTGTTGCTGTCTCTTCATTAATGCACTGGTTCTGAAATATTTGTGTATGATAACATCATGGCAGTCTTTCATATGGCTTTCCAAAATGACAGGATTAAATTAGAATAGAATTGTGCTGCGTATTTTAAAAAATAATATTAAAAGGCCTGGTTTATACTTGTCATAGTGAAACTATTAACTGATCTTTAAATTGACTATTTCCACCTAGACGCTTGAATACATTCTCATCCTTTATAAGAAACCCTGGGCTTCATCTTTGATTTGGCAAAAAAACATTCACTAGTTGCTCTGGGACTTCTTAAGTGGAGTCTTTGTAGTAGGTTGAAAAAGTCTCAAGTATCAGTTTCTGTCAAGTTTTACGGCTTTAGAATTGTCAAGCAAAAATGCATAAAATTAAGTGGGAATTGTCTGTGCCCCGTTAAAATTTCTCTTCCTCTTCACAAACAGCTGCTGAAATACAAAGAATACTACATCAGCTTGGAACACCGCAGGACACACCTGAGCTGAGGCAACAGCTGTGAGTACTTCACTTGAAAATGTTTAATTTCACTGCATTGTAAACAATCTCCTGGCAGGTGATGAGGTGGATTTTTTTGGGGCAGAGCGCTTGATCTCACGGAGAAAGGCGAGTATAGCGCTTGAAATTTAAATGTTGCAATGTCCTTTTTAAAATTAATCTTGGATAGTCTTTGTAAACTAGAGTCAGCTGGTTTGCCCATGCACGTTGCCTGCAGTATCCGTACATCTTTAAAACCTACGCTGTATGTCAGCAAAGGGAAGGGGGCAGGACAGAAGGAAATATCACTGGTTTAGAAACAAACACCTGCACCCCTCCACTCCAGTCAACTCTTCAAAACTATCTGTATAAGTTTCACAAGGTAATTAATATATTGTGTTGGGGGTTTTTTTGTGAGGTGTGATACTAGAGGAGAGAGGGGAATGATGATGAATGCTACAGGAAGGGATGACATTATAGAATAAACGTGTTTCAGAAATACTAAATTAGCAGAAGTGAAATTTGATTCCAAGGCAGATGCTGTGCTGTAGTTCAGTCACCTGAGGGTGGACTTTCATTATTATTAGCAGAGACAATCAGCTGCTCTCCACTTCTCTGCACAGTCTAATAAACCTTTTTTTTTTCCATTAAACTCCTTTACCACATTAATCTCGGCATCATAAATGCACGTAAGCAACATGTTGTGCTGACCCTGCGGCTGAGAAGGTTGGCAGACTTCAGTGCGGTTAACGCCGCGCTGTGGCTGGTGAAGAGGAGGAGGAGGAGGAGATGTGTTTTGGACCAAAGGCGTCACAGTCACTTTGTGTGAACAGCCAAATTGCTTTGTAACAACCTGAGCTCAGGGCCTGTAACGTGAGCCAGGTGCAGTCCACAGTGGATGTCCTACTGGATACCGTGAATAGGTGAAGATCAACATACACAGTTTATGCAATAACCAGAGAGGATCTAAGCATAAGGTCACAACTAAACATGTTGTGAAGGACACGTTCCAGTCCGTCTCTGGAGGTAATATATATGGTAAGCTTCCTTGAGTTTGCATCTGTCCCTTTTTCACGTGTCTGTACATTTGGCCCTTCCTTTCATGTTGATGTGTATCTGAAGTGTTATTTGATTATTTTAAATATTGATGTTGATTGTTTGCTAATAGCTTTCCAGATAAAACCTTTTTATATACACTGGGGAGGAGGAGGATGCAAAAGCAGGTAAAAAAATTTGCGTTACTCCAGGGAAAAAAAAAAAAAAAGAAAATTGGTAAAGGAGCATGTCATAATATCAGAAGCAGGGAGACAAAAAGAACCCAAAAGTAGCAAGGCTGTTGAAGAGGCTTTCTTTTTAAGCACTCTTAAAGCTATGAGTAAATAATGAAGTTTTCAGCTAAGTTTGCAGCTCTCCTATCATGGGAGAATATAGAATTCTGGGTAAGCTTCACCGTAACTATCAGGAATTGACCTCTCATGAACTGCAGTATCAGAATTATATTGAAGCCACAGTGTTCTTCCACACAGAAAAGACTTGGTCTTATCTACAATTACAGTTATTCTGAACTCAGAAACGATCAGGTATTTCTAACTGTAGAAGTACCTAACTAGGTATTTCTAACTATCAATAGCCTCAAAAGGACTACGAAAAGCATGTTTAGATATTCATAATAACTGGAAGCCTGTTGCTGCACATAAGGAAAATAGAAGAAATCTAAAAAAAAAAGGGGGGTGAGAAATGAGATGCTGTCACACAGAGGAACATACCACCTTCAGCATCTATCCCACGTGGAATCCATGGTGTCATGCCTTTGTAGTGAAGAACAGAATACAGATGGCTTCGTGCACTTTAGAGAAGCATTTAGTACAGCTGCTTTTCTGAGAATCAGTGAAATTCAAACAAAGTAACTCAATGGTCTCTAATGAAGCTTTGCATTTGGTTTTAGGCAGCAGAAACAGCAATATACCAACCAGCTTGCCAAAGAAACCGACAAATACATTAAAGAGTTTGGATCTTTGCCTGCAACAAGTGAACAGGTATAAAACCAAAGAGCATGGCTTGTTTGACTATCATGTTGGCTCATGTAGAGTATTTGAGTGACTTCAGGTCTGCATGCCTATTTTTGTGCTCCTCACTAGGCTTTCGGAGTGCTATATAGTTAGTCAACACATTTGGACAACAGGGATACTTTAAACATAAGAGTATTTTGTTGCAGTCCAGACTTGTTCCAAAGTTGGTTTCCAAAGTTGGTTTTATGTATCAGGAATTAGGTAGTTTGACTGAAATGGTAGGAATCAAGGCAGTGTGCTGTGCCTGTGATTTCAGGTAGCTGGGCATTTTGTAATCCATTGCAGTGATGCTAAGTCTGACTCCACAGGCACTATGACTGGTTCCAGGGTCAAGGAATTGTGTGCCAAAACCACATGCAGGGCACGTGGCTAGACGTGTTCACCCACTGCCCATATAATTTGATTATGCATAGTAGATCTGTTCTACATCACTCAGATCAGCCTGTATGCTGTCTTGTCCACAGGCTTTTCCTTTCTTAAGAGGAGTGGGCAGGACCTGTGACTGAAGCAACTTGTGCAGTCTTTAAACTGCTTCTTTCCCAGGTCTGTGCAAAGTCTCAGCAGGAGGAAAGATGTAAAGTGGCTGTTGTCATTAGCACACTCCTGTCTGCCATCCTGTGGTTTCTTATCCTAGCGAAGGCTGTGTCTTAAGTAATGGAAGAGCAACATGATCTCAGAAGACATAGATTCAGATTATTGTCACTCAAATAACTTTCCTGGTCTGTGGCTGGTTACCAGGAGACTTTAGGAAAATGAATTATCCTGGAACACTGAATTCTAATGGCAGGCCATGATCAACATGTGCTCATCCTGTCAAGTTGTAAACTTCTAATAGAGATGTTAAAGCGTGGTCTTGATATATAACCTCTAGTTCAGGCAAAGTGTGTTTGGGTTGGGTTTTTTTAATGGTTTCTCTGTTTCTTTATCTCAGAGCTGAAAAGTTGGCTGTGAGATGTTTTCCTGTTTAATTTTACCCCTTTTATTATAAGCATCTTCATCAAAGCTCCCTCCCAATGAAATGCATAAATAACAGATTGATGAATGGCAAATTATAGCCTCTCAGAAATTTAGAAGGAAGGGTTAATGTAATGTATACATTCAGGGAAATATGGTGGAGGCTCTCCTGAGTGCCCAGTATTCCTATTCCATCCTCTACATCTTTAAGGAAAAACAAACAAACAAAAAAGCCTGAAAGGTCAGAGCACGTATTTTTGTACCAGTTCTTAAGCACTTAAGGGAGGATGTGAACTCACTTCTGGATGTAGCTCAATATGTCTTTCCAGCATTTATGTAAAAATACATGTGAAGTGCCCTGTTCTTTCTTTTCTGCACCCTTCCCCCCCATTCAGTCACTTTTCCATATTTTAGCATCTACAGTATCAAAATATTTCATGCTTAAACAGTAGGTTTTATAATCAACAGATAATAAGGAAGGCAGAAGCTTTATTGTGCCTGCCCATTTCTCATTTCCAGCTGTTAAATGAAAATAAATACATTGGTTTCCTCTTTAAATGCCTTAATTTGTGCAGTTATGTGGTCTCAGAGGGAAGGAAGGTTTGTCCATGCAGTTGCAAATGGCTTTGTAGACAGCCTTCCATTACACCTATTTAGAAAAAAAAGAGTATATGCCTTAGCATTGAGCAGCCTGGAAATAGCTGAGCCTTGAAAAGCTGGAGCTCATTTGACTTGGTAAAACTTTTTCTCCTATAGCGTCAAAGAAAAATACAGAAAGACCGTCTTGTGGGGGAGTTCACCACAGCACTAGCAAATTTCCAAAGACTCCAAAGACAGGCTGCTGAGAAAGAAAAAGACTTTGTAGCCAGAGTAAGAGCCAGCTCAAGGGTATCTGTAAGTATCAGAAAACGTGCCGTTATACTCTGTTTACAATGGTGGTGGTGGTGTTCAATGTCAAACTTGCCTCCAGAGTGCTGCTTACAAAAGCTCATATCTGACTCCAAATACTGCAGAATGTGTGCTGTATGATTACAAGTATAGAATTGTAAGCTTTCTTTGCTCACTTTTATGCATAGCTGAACTATGCAGTTCATTTTATAGCAAAGGCTGAATTAAGTTGATGAATTAATCTGAGAACTATTACTTTTTCCTTGCCTTTGTCACACAAAGACATGACCTGCCCCTGGGTTTGTGCCATAATCTTGGAAGAGCAATTTTCAGTAGATTTTTAAGTGCTTTTGCTGGACCTTTAGATATCAACGAATTTTTTCGATAGAGAAGAATCGCTTACCAGATTTCTATGCAGTATTAAAGTAGAGAAGTGCTGAGGAGCTGGAGATATTGAGCTTTTCCTTGTTAGCACATCAGTTTTGCCTTTTCACTCTGTGCCAAATACACATTTCTGTGCTTGTAAATTTTAGCAGGCAGTTACTGAGCTGAATGTTTTTGCTTATGTTTCAGCTTTATGCATGCATAAAGCAAAATCAGGATGAGAACATGTTAAATCATGTTTCAGTTGAAGCTGACTTACTATAAGCCTTGTAATATTGACTCATTATAGAAACGCTGGCAGTGCCCCTTTCAGGGCCATAATATTTTATTTATTGTTTTTTAAACACTGATCATATAGGGTGGTGCTCCTGAAGATAGCTACAAGGAAGGAACACTTGTCTCTTGGGACAGGTAGGCTGATTTGTTAATAAGTCTTAACCTAACTCAGAATAATAAATGGCCTGCAGGGAAGCTAGCTGCCAGTTTTTTTTTTTTAACTATTTTTTTCTGATCAATTGCCTTTTTCAGGAGGGAGTTGGGATACGTTGTTCAGTTAGGCTTTCTTCCACAGGACAAATGTAGAGAAGAGGCTTTGGTGGGATAGGTGGGAAGAAAAAGGAGCAGTTCACATCATCTCCCTCTTTTTTCCCAATGCTTCAGCTTTAGTCATCTCCTTAAGCTACCCTAAGTCTAAGTCTGTATTTGGACTCTGAGACCCAAACTTAGCTAAGCAGAGTCTAACCTGTGAACAGAGCAAAACTGTTAAGTTGTGATAAGGGTCCAATGTTTACTGGGATCTCCCATTGCTTTCATGCTCTCCAATAACTGCTTTTCAGTCTCAGATTCTGTCTTGTTGACTAGCTTGCTTTTGCTTCAGATGGATTTAAACTCTGCAGTTGATAGTTCAGAAGAAGCTTGTATTCATGCTCGGAATTTCCGATTGGCTAGCTCAATGCTATGTGCAATGGTGCTACAGCAGCAGCTTCCCTTACCAAAGGTGTGACTGTTAAACCTTCTCCGTTAGCTAGATGGGCAAGGGTAAAAACGTGGGTTTCACTAACTGATAATGTAAAGTATGTGACTTAACTGTCATTTTATTCTTCTGAGTTATTTCTTTTCATGCCTGTTCCATTCTGGGTGGTTTGTTTTTTTTGGTTTCATAGTCAACCACAAGCACAAGTGCAAGATGAAGAAATTACAGAAGATGACCTCCGCCTTATTGAGGAGAGGGAATCTTCCATTAGGCAGCTTGAGGTAAATACAAGTGGCTTTACAGCAGAATATGCTTTTGATGTTTCCAAAGAAGAACACATTGTATAGTGGCATGAGCATTAATTGTTTGTGGGGGTGGTTTTTCCTTCAAAACTACAAATACTGCCTTTAGATGTGAAATCTGCAGTAGAAATCTACTGTATGAAAGCCGTGTTTTGCTACTGTGTTTAACTTCAGTGGTTCAGTTATGGAATAAGAGACTGCTCATGTGATTGCAAGAAAAAATACATGTAAGTTTTTTCCAACATAGTGGTCATGTTATATAACCTCTTTTAACAGTGACTATAAATAAAGCAAAATTATACCTTTCCTCCCAGGTATTCCCAACGTATTGTTCAATGTCTTCATTTTGTAAGCGGATTTTTTGAACGCTTCTGGAAATACAGAGATATTCTGTTTCATTTAAACTTTTGTAATTAAGGGCTGGTCAAAAAGTTAAAAACATTTTAAAAAAAGATGTAAACTACACAAAAAGCTGTCCTGTGATGAAATACTGACATCAAGAGGCTTCTGTGAAGACAAAATGGATTTTTCCAGTCAGTCTGGAATCAACATCTCTGCCATCAACAAGAAAGATGCTGGAACTGGAGTTTGTCAGGAAGTCTTGCTGATGCATGTGGCAAAATGCATTCTATGTATAAATTTTGCAATAATCTCTCCCTTGCCACCCCTACTTTGACTTACAGTGCATTGAACGAAACATGTATCAGGCATTAGTCAAGAAAAGATCATGTGCACAGTAGTAACATGGCATCTGTCACTTCATCATAACCAGCTGGTAAAAGGATAATGTCATATAGGTGCAATAGCCTGGCCATATTATTGAGGTAATTCCTGTAAACCGTGCTGGTAATGAAATTTGTGTGTGTTTAATTTAATAGGTGTACTAAAACTAATGCAAAATACTTTCTGCAGGTGCTTTTTACTAATTTGGCTTAAACAGATAGCTTTTAAGCAAAGTTGGCATGAGCCTTTCCTTCACTTAATCCGATACAAGTATGTGTGTAGATAAGCCCTCAGCAGTGAGAGGTCCTGTTTGTGATGTGAAGTGTACTTTGTGCACGTACTCATCTTCAGATCTTCAGTTAACTTGTAATAAACTTGGTCTTGTAGTACCAAAAAAGCCTTCCAAATAAACATTTATTTTTTTTTTTTTAATCCTGTAATGTAAGGAGTCATGGATGCATACTGAGGAGGAGAAGGAGCAGTATTTGTATCTAAATGTAGAGAGATGCTAGAATATGTTATGTCAATTTCCTTACAGGCAGATATTATGGACATCAATGAAATTTTTAAAGATCTAGGAATGATGATTCATGAACAAGGTGATGTGATAGGTAAGTCCAATTAAAATATTATCTGAAAATTTTTTTATTCTGTTTCTCTGGAGAGCAACAATGTAGAAATTCATTTTGCTGGAAAAATTCCCCTACTGAGAATATTAATGCTAAAGCAAATCAGGTGCAACTTAATAATGGGTGGCTGGAAATACAATAAGAAAGTGTGTTTAAAATGTAGTTTAAATCATTACGTAGTTTTTAATGTGGATAAAATGTCTCTGAAAGTAGTTTTTTGAACTCTTTGTACATAAAATTGGAATTCATGTGGGTAGTTTTTCTGTATTGACTAGTGATATAAATGTGTCAATTCAGCAAAGATTCCTGCAAAAAAATTCCTGCTGGGCACTCCGTGCAGACATGTTTATTCTTTTAATGAAATGTGACTGGAAAATACATTCTCTGAGTCTGCTGCTAAGCCGTGCTGTTGTCTATGTCCAGCATACATTTGCAGGGCTTTTTCTGTCACCTTAGCCTGTAATCTGTTCATATTTTTCTGGGGTGGGGGGGAATCAGTATGATAAAACTAGAAGCGTGCCTCTTGGGGTGTTTTGTGTGTCCATTTTCTCTGATTTCATAGGCCTTAGGACTATTAATCTGAGCAGAGGGTAGTCAGTAGCAAGTTGGAGGACAAGTAAAGGTTTTTTTTTTAAAAAAAAAGAAAAAAAAAAAAAGTTAAAACATACTGTGAGTTTCTACCCTGATTGGTATCTAAGGTTCATCCCTGCTTCTAGAGCAGGGGAGCTGTTACGTTAGTTCATTAATTCATAATTACATTAATTCAGCCACTCATCACCTGGATGGTTCAGAAATGAACTCAGGTATTATAGGATGGGCTGAACTTCAGTAATACAAGATATAAAACTTTGGGTATTGATGAAGACACCAGCAGTTGGAGGGCAACTTTTACATGTGCTCTCAAGTGTATTTCAGCATTCCAAAACTTTGTCTGGGTTATGACTAACCAAAATTTAAAATTTTTCCTTTTAAAATAAAGACAGCATAGAAGCCAATGTGGAAAATGCAGATGTTCCAAACCTTTGTCTGGGTTATGACTAACCAAAATTTAAAATTTTTCCTTTTAAAATAAAGACAGCATAGAAGCCAATGTGGAAAATGCAGATGTACATGTGCAGCAAGCAAACCAGCAGCTGTCAAGAGCAGCAAACTACCAGGTAATGTCGATGCCAGCTGCCAGTTGTGCATAACTGTCCTTTCTCAGTAGTCCTGACTTCCGCTTTCTTATGCAGTTCAGATTTTGGTTATCAATTTCCTCTAGGCTTGGACACTTCTAGGTCACTATAAAACAAAAGTCAGTGACCTCTGAAAGGTTTGGGTTTCCTATAAAATTAGCCAAGCTGTTTCAGAGCACCTGGAGTTTACCTTTATTTAAAAAAACAAACAAACAAAAAACCAACCAAACAAACAAAAACACAAACAAAAAACCCACAAACTTAACCAAACCAACCTCCTTGTATAGCTCAAGAAGTAAAAGGTTCCTCTGTATGGGGAGCAAGCCACTAAAGATCACTGGAGGAGTACCTCTGCTATGAAGACAGGCTGAGAGAGTTGGGGCTGTTCAGCCTGGGGAAGAGAAGGCTCTGGGGTGATCTTATAGCAGCCTTCCAGTACCTAAAGGGGGCCTACAGGAAAGCTGGAGAGGGACTTTTTACAAGGGTGTGTAGTGATAGGACAAGGGGCAATGGATTTAAACTGAAAGAGGGCAGATTGAGGTTAGATATAAGAAAGAAATTCTTTACATTGAGGGTGGTGAGGTACTGGAACAGGTTGCCCAGAGAAGTTGTGGATGCCCTATCCCTGGAAGTGTTCAAGGCCAGGTTGGATGAGGCTTTGGGCAACCTGGTGTAGTGGAGGGTTTCCCTGCCCATGGCAGGGGAGTTGGAACTAGATGATCTTTGAAGTCCCTTCCAACCCTAACCATTCTATGAGTAAGGAAGATAGGCAGGGAGGTCTTCTGAAGATGCACCAATTTTTGCTGTCTAAAATCTTCTCAAAGCTCGTATATATCCAGGTTCTGTTAATTGCTAACCTGATGCTGAAAACGTATTTCAGACTCTCAAACTTTTTTGAAAAGCCTTTTAAATACCTTTAAATGCCACTTCTTTATAACGTTTTTGGAACATATTAGAAATAATCTTATTAGTAATAAATCTTCCCTCTTTAAGTCAGAGTTAGTCCTTAGACTTTTTTTTTTTTCCTTCAATCCTCTTTTATGTGTTACTAGTAGCCAGGACAGAAAATCAATGACAAAATGTCTGAAGAATTGCATGCTGATTTCAGAAGCGGGAGAGGGAAAGGGATGGATGCATCCTTGAACTGTATTCTAGGTGGCACTAATTGGCACACTAAGTATGGTTGATGGCTCCTATTTTGATACTCACAAAGTTCAGGGGAAAAAAAATAGTAGCAGCCAAAATTTTCTGTGGAAAACTGTTAGTATTCTGGTTGAAATTTGAAACGAAAAGCTTTGTGCTTTATCTTGAGGATGAAAGGATGAATATCTTCTGATCTCAAAGGAAAATTATCAAGACTTTTGACAAGCTTCTGTTCAGTGGGTCTTGCAGCAGAGACCGAACACTCTGCAGAGTTGGCCTGCATTTGACAGGATTGTGTATTTTGCTTCGGGTTTGAACTTTCCTTTGCTTGGAAACTCATCCTTGTCTCAAGATGCTGAAAAACCATTTCCACTTTCAACACACTTGTTTTAATTTTGTCAGCTATTATATCTGTATATCCTGACCCACTCGAGAAAATTAACGTTAGAGGCCCAGGCATGCTGGTGGGGATGAGGCTGCACATGGTCGGTACCCTCATGACTCGTGTTTGTGGTTGGACAAGGGATGCACCATGCATCTGCCATGTGGGGTGCATTGACACAGCAGAGCTGTTGAGGCAAAGCCAAGCTCCTCTCCTTTCTTTCCCCTTTCACCACTGCTGCTTCAGCACTTGTAGAAATGATGATCAAGTGTATGAAGAAATAAGATCTTCATGGCTTTAGTCTGCTGGCTTGCTTAAGTAGCGTTACAGGGAAAATAGTTCTACTTCAATGCGGTATTGACAACAAGTGGTCTCCAGGATGAAAAAGAAAGAGACTGGGATTGTAAGGAGAGAATTTGGCCACAGATTAAATAAAAAGGAAGAGACTCTACCAAACAGATTGAGTTATAGCAAATAAAATGATGAAATGAAGAAATCTTAGCCTGACAATGGAAGAAGAGAAGTGACAGGGAGATACTAAAACCAGAAGAAGAGAATAGTTAAGACAAGAAACTTGGTAGTGTGAAGAAACTCCAGTGAAGAGCTGACACAGATGTAGTTCTGCAGGAGGGAAAAACCAACCCAAAACACCCAGGCAGATGAGCCTGCGCCAAATAAAGCAAAGTGTGTCTTTAATTCTGAAGCTGTGGCCTAGAATCCTGAGATTTGAGTGACTATCAGCAAAAGCCTGTGAAACCCACTGGTAATTTCCTTTCCTGCTGTGAAGGAAACTGTCAGATTCCATATCCTCCAGATAAAGGATGACAGACTGCTGGTAGTCTTGGATGGTCTGGTATGCCAAGTTACAGACCTGTATGGGAGGTTGGAAAGTTCTGCACATGCTCATAACTCACGCTTCACTGTAGTGACGTCTGTATAACTGGGTCTCTAGTCGGGTTTCTTTTTCGTTTGTTTTTGTGGAGGTCTTTTTAAGAGCAAGTTGTACCTGACAAACGTGACAGGAACAACTTTAAAATAGCACTATGAATAGATGCAGAGCCTAAAATTGCAGACTTCCAGAAGTCCAAAATTACAGTCCTTTGTCCCCTTCTGTATATACATTAATAGTCTTTAAGTATTTTTTTTCTAGCAGACCATTTCTGCCTCCTCTACTGTGAAGATTCATTATCCATTTTCCTCTGTGTGCGGTCACCTGCACTTTCCCATTTTTCCCTCAGTGTTCTAATTACATTCATTCGTTACGTTACTGCATTCTCTTTCATTAGTTTATTAGGTATGCCAGAAAATACCACTGAAATCATTGAGTTCAATAGTATAGTCATAGAAGTAAGTCATGGATAACTTAGCTCTCTTTTTTTTTTTTTCCTTGAACAATTTTATATGACTTGTTAGTAAGGGCACAGTTTAGTCAGATTGCACGAGGAGTAGGACCGTAGGAGCATTTGAGTAGTGTTCTGATGTGGTGGTGTAACTTTCAATCAACTTGGATTTTTCTCTATTGGCAGCAAAGATCCCGAAAGAAGATGTGCATCCTCATTATTATACTTGCTGTTGGAGTATTGCTTATTGGAATCATCATATGGTTAACTACAAGACAACCCTCTGGAAAAAGCATTGTAACTGGTAGTTAAATTACGAAAGGAAATTCCTAGTCATGGTTTGCTCGTTGTGAAGCTGAGTAAAATAACGGTTCTGTACTTCATCACACTTACTTTTTTATAAGACTTTTTGTTTTAACCTGAGAAATAACATTCTCAGTACTTCTGTCAGTGTAACTGCCCGCCCTGTTGGATGTGGGTGCTGTCTTACCAGAAAAAAACAGTCACGGTTGTAGACTGTTCCGTTAACTTAAACATAAAAACCTCTTAAGGTTTAGGGGGCTAATCAAAATCTGGATAATTTATTTTGATGAGGCAGGTAGTAATCTTTTGGGATATTGCTAAATGTTGCTGCCAAAACAAACTCCTGAATTGTTGCTTAAGGCAACGAATTCACATCCCAGAATTTGTTTTTAAGTTAGAAATGTCTTTCTATCTCTTT